CCTACTGGGGATGTGCCCGCAACGCAGATACATGCCCCTGACCAGAATCGAACCTGGGACCTTTCAGTCCGCAGGCCGATGCTCTATCCACTGAGCCAAACCGGTTTTGGCTATTTATATAGTCTTTGATTCTATATATTGCCTCATCAAGCTCACAATGGGTTTTCTCTCTCTCTCTCTCTCTCTCTCTCTCTCTCTCTCCTTCGCCCCTCCCATCCCTCCCCCCCTCCCATATCTCCTGGGTTCAAATCCCAACTCTGCTATATACTGGCTTTGTCACTTTGGGCAAGTTACCTAACACCCTGCCTCCACTGGCTTATCTATAATAATAAAAGCATAATATGCAAATAAACCGAAAAGCCGAACAGCGGAACAACTATCCAGACGACCTTCCGGATGAAGCCGGGGCAGCTGCGAGGGCCTACCCTTGCACGAATTTCGTGCATCGGTCCTCTAGTGGGAATTATAATAGAAGCTACCTCATCGGGTTGTATAAAGATTAAATGGAATTAGTTCACTCAGTTGAGCTGCCAGAATCAACAAGGAAAAATAACATAACTTACTTATACTAAAAGATTGTTTATTGTTTATCTAAAATCCAACTTTAACTGGCTGTCCTATATTTTTATTTGCTACATCTGGCAAACCTATCACTGAGAACAGTGACCAGCAAGTGCTAATAAGTGTTTGCTATTATTATTCCTTAACATTTTTATTATAGAGCCCATTCTATTACAAGCCTTTCCCTCAGAGTAAAGAGCCCTTCAGTACCTCATTAATTTGGTTCCTAATAATAATGCATGACTATTTAGAGGGTAGATTAGAGCTTTCCATTACTAAGCAAACACTCCCAGAAAAAAAGAACATAAATTTATGTTAAAAACAAGATCATAGTGGGAGCACTTAAAATAGTTAACTGAACAAATGGTTTTTACGAACCTTGGCATAATTGAGAAACTCCCATTTCCATACAAGTAGGATAACTATAAATTATTTTGTGCTAGAAAGAAGGTCCACTGAGCAACACCTCAAGCCAGTTCAGGTGAACAGTGTTGGCTCGGGAAAAGAAACCCTTATGAATAGAACTTCCTTTCATTTTATTTTCAAGATGGTATCCAGAAATCACCATTTGAATCCTGGATCTACTACTGGTTAATTGTGTGTCTTAGGGTCAAGGCATTTTGCATTTTAGGACCTTCATTTTCTCGTTTTGAAAATGGGGCCATCATACCATATGGTCTCAGAGATTCCTTAAGGGTCATTGACTCTACTCCCCACTTCCCACTGAGGTCTGTGAGCAGAAAAGGCCACCAGCAGGGCCGGTGAGGCAATGTGTATTTGCAAATACAAGTTACCTTGATTGTTATCAGTCCAAGAGTAAAAGCAGACAGAACCTGTGTTCACGGGGCCTTAGGCGGCACCTTGGAATCAGCTGGGGAACTTGAAATGCTCCTGCTAGGTCTCCACTCCCAGAAAGGCTGACCCAGTTGGTCCGGGAGGGGGTCAGACATACGTAAGCTGCCTCAGTGTTGCTGGGGCTGAAAACCACTGGCCTAGCTGCCCCCCATAAGCTCAGTTTTTGTCCTTTTCTCACATTTTTCTCAAATTTACCCCAAATCTTCCAAGATGGGGCTCACAGGATCACATGTCACATTGCCCCAGATCACTGGTCTGTGGCTCTGCTCATTGTGATGCAATAGGCTTGAAGAGAGGGCCCACACAGGATCCGCCCAGAGCGGCAGCAGCAGTTTAGTCTTGGCTACACTCTCTGCTTCTCTAGGTTGAGCTTCTGTTTCAGCTCATCTCACTGTCAGATCACAAGAAAGTCTCTGTAGCCTCCCCACACTGTGACATGTAACTCTCACTGTCCAGGGTACATTCTCCTCCACCCAGCAATTTAGTACAGTTCATTTCTTTGATTACTTAGGAATATTTTGAACATATGGAAAAGTATAGACTCATTTAATAAACTGAAAAGCAGCCTCTCCCATCTCCTAGAGTGAACAACCGTCAGTACTGGGTTCAGACTCCCTCTGTGGTCTTCTCCAATCTTGTGCCCTTAATTTTCTCTCGGGTGTTACCATACGCTGAAGTAGTGAGCACTCCTCTCATCCTTGATGTCATAGCCTTTTTATATATGCAAATGTTAATAAACAACATAGGGTGCTGTTTTGTGTGTTTTGAAAACTATACACAAATAGAATCACACTCAACACATTATTTTGCAGCTTTGCTTTTTTACATTCAGCATTTTGTTTGAGACTGATCTAAATTCAATTTATTCATTTTTAACAGCTGTCTGATATTCAATTATGTAAATCTCTAACCCTCTATTTACCTGTTTGAGTACATATTATTTCTACCAATATAACATTTAGAATATTTTCAAACACAGAGATTCACATATAAACAAGCGTACTGGCTATCGATGTTTGATTACACACCCAAATGTGTGCATATTCACTTATACACAGAGCAGTTATCCATTGTCAATCATGTGTTAGACATCCATAAAGCTTTATTTGTTTCTTAATTTCAAGTAAAAGTAAACATTATTAGAAGTTCTAATATCTTCTCATATGCTGAAAGAATAAAAAGTGCTACAAGCTGCACAAACCGAGCCGCCTGTTTTATCTCAACTCCCCAGGCTCCCCCTCCCCAGGCTTCCCCCTCCCCGCCCCCGCTGGAGACGCCAGGGGAGGGGAACAAAGGGAGTGCAGGCCTTGAGGCTGCCCTCGGAGATAGCCCTCGGTCACAAGTGGCAGGCTGAGTAAACAGAGCGCCAATCAACCATTAAGATAACAAGTCGTAAAACGCCCTACTGAGATACACAGCAGGGTCCTTGGAATCTCTTTGTTTCCCTCTTACCCTCCTGCATGCAGCCCCTCCCTGATGTGTGATTTTTGCCTATAAATATCTGAAAGACTTGTTGCCCGGGGCCCAACTCCACTCCTGCGTGAGTTTCGAGTTGAGCCCCAGCGCGCTGGAATAAAAACCTCTTGCTGTTTGCATCAAGTGACGTCTCCTGCGGTTGATTGGGGTCGCCGTTGGTCTGCGGGACAGAGTGAGAGTCCCATTTCTGGGGTCTCACAATGCCAGTGGGATTTCTTGCACACATTCTGCTTAAGCTGCACAAACCGAGCCGCCTGTTTTATCTCAACTCCCCAGGCTCCCCCTCCCCAGGCTTCCCCCTCCCCGCCCCCGCTGGAGACGCCAGGGGAGGGGAACAAAGGGAGTGCAGGCCTTGAGGCTGCCCTCGGAGATAGCCCTCGGTCACAAGTGGCAGGCTGAGTAAACAGAGCGCCAATCAACCATTAAGATAACAAGTCGTAAAACGCCCTACTGAGATACACAGCAGGGTCCTTGGAATCTCTTTGTTTCCCTCTTACCCTCCTGCATGCAGCCCCTCCCTGATGTGTGATTTTTGCCTATAAATATCTGAAAGACTTGTTGCCCGGGGCCCAACTCCACTCCTGCGTGAGGTTCGAGTTGAGCCCCAGCGCGCTGGAATAAAAACCTCTTGCTGTTTGCATCAAGTGACGTCTCCTGCGGTTGATTGGGGTCGCCGTTGGTCTGCGGGACAGAGTGAGAGTCCCATTTCTGGGGTCTCACAATGCCAGTGGGATTTCTTGCACACATTCTGCTTAGGAGGCCATTGTTCTAAGCAAATGCATTTTATATATTTAAACGTTAACCTCATGTTTCTCCAAGAATGTTTCTAACTAGAGAATTCTCTGGTCAATGCAACCCACCACTTTCCCACCAGCTTCAAGTGTCTTTTAAAAGGCTTCTGTCAATGTTATAAACCAGCACTGTGTTCCCCACATTCTTGTCTCCTCATCTATACTGTCTTCCCCCCTTCCCATCAGCTTTAAAAACTATATAACCCAGTTTTTAATAATCCCATTGGTTTTTCTCCCAATAGTTATATCATGTTCCCTCCAATTAGCATGTTTCTGTATATTATGGTGATCCGAATGCAGTGTGAGGTTGGTTGTTGTAATTCCTTGGATAACAGTTACAAGTAAGAGCCTACCTGTGCTACCAAGATTCCTTGAAATTCCTCTTTCCCCACCTCACTGCATCAGAAACCACCTCTGGCTTCCCCAAACTGGAGAGGTGGTTGCAAAGTCAGCCCCACAATTCCACACACTAGTGCGCACTGCTCAGAGATGGCTGATGAGAAATGCCTTTGCATTTCAGTGATCTCAGCTCAGTTTTAAGGACTTGTTGATTGACTTGGTTGATTAATCATTTGAAGCACAGGAGGGAATTGACAGTCCGTGGGGTTTTGGGAGAAGGCATTTCTGAATGATAGATGATTGCAGCCACTGGCAATACAGATTGGGATTGTAGCTGAGCTCTAATGGCCGGGAAGACGGTGGGACACCCAGGGATAAGTAAGGGCTCATTAGCAGCTTCGTGTTCTCAGTTCCAATTTTAGCGAAGGAGAGCAAGGCCAGCTCAGTTGGGTGTGTGGACTGTGTATGCGCCTGCCTATTTTGGGAGGGAACTTCATTTTCTCAGCCCATTCTGCTTGCGGTTCATCTGGTGTTAGAATTGGAAGCCACATTTCCATTCCAAGTGATGCAAACTTTAAAAGAAGCTGGATAATGAGTCAACAGACTTGGGGTTCAAATTCTCGGTTTCCCACTTAACAATATGAAATTGAGCCAATGACTTAACTTCTCATCATGGCTTCTTCTTCTGGAAAACGGGGAGAATGACACTATTTTTCTCTTATCATTGTGAGGATTAAATAGGGGAATGTTTGTAAAGTGCCTGGCACAGCACAAGAGCTTAATAAGTGGTACCCACAGGTGGCATCTCCCCTTCCTCTGTTTTATGTACCCAGTTTATCTGAGTTCCAACCTCAGCATGACTGGGTCACACAGAGCAAACTCTACATGGTGTCTGCCACTCAATAAGCACTCAACACATAATAGTTGCAAAAAGCATGATCTCTGAGTGGTTGTGGCAATTATTGCCGGACATTTATGTTCACCCTGGTAGTCAGTTTCATTCTTCAAGTTTAAATTTGGTTGATTGGAACTCCTTGTTGTACTAGTGACAGATGATTTCTAAGGTTGTTAAGATCCTTTAGAGAAGAGAGGAATTGTTTATAACTATTAACTCCGATTTTTACAACCTAGATCTTTGCTACTCAAAGTGTGGTCTGGGGACTGGAAACATTGGCATCACCTGGAAGTTGGTTATACATTCAGCATTTCCAGGACCCCCAGACCCACTGAATCAGAAGCTGTATTTTAACAAGCTCCTCTGGTAACTTGTATGAGCAATCAAATTTGAAATGTATTTACGTAAATACTTATACTACGTACAAAAACACACCTCTCCTCTCATTAGATAGATGTGTCCTCTATTTGTGCATAATGTCTCTGTCTATAGCAAGTACTATACGAAAGTGAGAGGACCACAGACTTGATGTTACATTAAGCCACTGCTCATTGGGTAATCTGCAAGATCTTTTCAAATGACCTGAGCCACTTGGGCAAGATACTTTTGACAGTGTGTAAGCGATGGCAGTTTTGTATATACATGTTTTTACATGGGCCATAAATGATCTATAATTTGCTGGACCTACTGTGAGACAAAATTACCAGCATCACACCATGTGATGATAACACCAAAGTAGGGGCTCTATAATTGCAATTCAAGGCCATGTAGAAGATTTCAGCAGAGCTTTTCTTTTTTATGAGATAAAACTTTCCTTGGGGAAAATTTCCTGAGCTCTGGAGTCATTCCACTGTTTTCCTTGATTTTTTCAAAGGTTTAAATACATAGGTTGTCCATGAGGACTAACAAACAGATACAAACCTGGGAGTTATTTCTGACAGCATCTCCCTCATCATCCTTTTTGGAACATAGTTATGATATTCCAAGGTCCTCACCCACTTCTGCACCCTTCAGTGTTTTTTACCACACATTGTTCACTTCCGCTACTACCCACACAAGGACTGAACCCCTGACCCTGACTTTACCAACAATCTGCTCAAATGAGCCTGATACTCCAATCAAAGAAATCACCCAGATACAGATGCTTTTGTTACTGTTGTCACTTGCATCAATCAAAAAGTGATTCATTTCCAGGGAAGGAACCCGTTTGGAGAGCACAATGCTTTAAATATTAAAGACTTTCCTAGAGGTGTTCAAAGAATAAATGAAATGTGAAATAACCTTTCAGGGGCCTCTTACCATTAAATAACCTATTTAATAAAAATATTCCTTGGTGTTCATTATAATTGCATATTGTCTGTTTAATATTGTCTCTATGGTATATTGTCTGTTGAATAAAAATACTGAATTGTGTTAATTATATTTGGGTGAAAAGAATCAACTTGCATATTCATTGAAAGTCATAAACCACCCAAATTCTGCAAGTTGAACAAATGCTGAATGGAGAAACATCTCTTGTTGGTTGTTCTAGATGTGCTTTTTGTTTTTTTAGGGCGTCTCTTGTCTTTGTGTGATTCAAGGTCTTCGGCAAAGAAACAATCACTTTTCCCTTCTCCTAGGAGCATGTGAACATCAGATTAGCCTCACCTCCCTCAGCAGATGCTGGTCTAGTTCACATTTATGTACACAGGTGTTTTGGAGGAAGCCCAAGCTAGCTCTAAAAAGCAGAGCACATCTGTCTTTGTGGTGCTGAGCCAATGGCAATAAAGACATGGGCCATGTCTAGAGTGGAGGTTCTCAAACTGGGCAGATAAAATATGTTTTTATCTCTGTGTGTGTGTGTGTGTGTGTGTGTGTGTGTGTGTGTGTTAATATAGAATTTTAGCCCCACACCCCCACACATTAGATCAGGGGTCCTCAAACTTGAACATGCATCAGAAATCACATGGAATGTTTATAAGAACACCAATCATGGAGTCCTACCCCCTGAGTTTCTGATCCAGAAGTTCTGGGAGGGCCTGAGAATGGGAATTTCTAACAATTATGCTGATGTTGTTGCTCTGTGGACAGCCCCTGAGTACTTTTGCCTTAGAAGTCCTGAATATTCTGAGATTTGAGAATGCACAGGTCTCTCATGTATGCTATGGAGCTGAGGCTGCAGCAAGTTTAAGACCACAATGCAATGCGTGCTTGTTCTGAAGCCAGCGCTGTGCCAGATTCAGCACAGAGGATGCTGTAAAGGCTGGGCCCTGGTTATACAGAGATTAAATGAACACTCTCCCACTTCTCTGTTTCATCTTTCAGAGCTCAGTTCAAATACCATATTCCTCAGTATCACACTCCCCTGAGGAGACTTAGTTCTTCTTCAGGAAAAATCTTTCTCTCAAGGAAATTTCAGTCTGGCAGGAGAGTCATGAAATGAGCAACTGTAAATTATGATACTACTTCTGTATTTTGCTGGGCCTTATGCATAATTCAATGTTGGGCTGATTACCTAATATGAAAATGGTTGTTTTCTGTGCCTGATTTTCCTCTTAGACTGTGGCCCTGTGGAGGGCCAACTCTGCATCACTTCATCTCTGTGTACCCAGTGCCCACAGAGAGGGGGTCACATGATTCAACTCTATATCATTTCATGTTTGTGTATCCAGGGCCCACAGAGAGGTGGTCACATGGTTGAGTATTTTCTAAACGTTTTCTGAGTTCACTACACCATAGCTCTTCTTCCTAAAGAGATAATAATCTTATGCTAACATGAGTGCAGCAAATGTAGCAACATTAATTATATCATTAGCTGACATTGGGATTCTTTTTCATTTGTGGGGAGAAATCCCTTGAAAAGCCACTTGGGACTTGAAGAAAAGCTCGGAGTGCCTGGACTTCGGGGGAAAAAATAAAGCAATAAAAGAAAAGGCTATGTGGTTCTGTGTGGGGAGATGAAAGGGAGGTGCTTTGCTCCTGGGCTGGAGAGAGAAGGCATAGAGAAGAAAGGGAACTAGAATGGGGAAAGTGAAGAGCAAAGGGGACTGAGAAAAAGAAGAAAACACATTTCGGTGACAGTCGGCATTTTTCTTTTATTCTGATTGGTCTGCCCTGGCATACCAACTCACAATAAAACTCACCAACTCACAAATGCCTTCTACAGTGCTTTTGCCAGTGTTTGCTTTGGGGAAATAAAGAAAGAGGTTGAGTTTTGAGTCTGGGTCAGTACAGTGAGGACTTGAGCCAGGATTCATGGAATAAGGTGACCTGTAAGACAAAGTGATTCATTTTAATTAGGAGGCTGCTTGGTCAAGAAATACTCACTGAGCATGACTAGGTGCTGGACAGTTTTCTAGAACTAGGGGAACTGCAGTGAAAAGGGGAAAATCCTTGATCCCATGGGGTTTATGTGAAAGCATCCTATCTAATCAAAGAGAAACATGGTAATTGGCATATGACCGCTACCCTTCCCATTGGCTAATCAGGGCAATATGCAAATTAACTGCCAGCCAAGATGGCGGCCAGCAGCCAGACAGCTTAAACTGAACATGAGGCTTGCTTGCTTCAGTGACAGAGGACTGCAACGTTCCCTGCCTGCCTTGCCGGCCTCTGAGCTTGCAGTTTAAGAAACACTGTAACATGTAGAAGCT